CAAATGGCAGCCCAATCTCTTCTTGAAGGTCTCAAGTGATGGCGCTCCCTCAACTTCCAAGGGCAAGTTGTCCCATTGGTTGGTTGATCTCACTGTCAGAAAGTTTCTCCAGATTTCCAGGTTAAATCTCTCCTTGTTCAGTTTCCATCCATTATTCCTTGTCTGGCCTTCGGGTGCTTTAGAAAATAGCTTGACCCCTTCCTCCCTGTGGCAGCGCCTCAAATATTGGAAGACTGCTATCATGTCTCCCCTGGTCCTTCTCTTCACCAGACTAGCCATGCCCGGTTCCTGTAACCGTTCTTCATATGTTCTAGTCTCCAGTCCCCTAATCATCCTGGTTGCTCTTCTCTGCACTTTTTCTAGCATCTCAATATCTTTTTTATAATGTGGTGACCAAAACTGGATGCAGTACTCTAGGTGTGGTCTTACTAAGGCTTTATAGTACCTCACTTGATCTCAATTGTATCCCTCTGTTAATGCAACTTAGGATTGCATTCGTTTTTTGGGTGGCTGCTGCACACTGCTGGCTCATGTTTAGCTGGTTGTCCACTAAGACTCCAAGATCTCTGTCACAGTTACTGCTATTGGGCCTGGTTTCACCCAGTCTATATGTGTACTTTGGGTTTTTCTTGCCTAAGTGTAGAACTTTACTTTTCTCTACATTGAATTTCATTTTGTTAAATATGGCCCAGCGTTCTAGTCTGTCAAGATCCATCTGGATCTTGAGCCTCTCTTCTTGTAAAGGCAATCAGGTTGCACATATGAGCCAGTTCAGCTTCTTCAAAGTGTTCCTTGGACGCTCCAAAATATTAACGCAAGAGTGCCTGATGCCAATAGTGCCTGTCAAATTTTAGGATGCCTTTTTACTCAGAATTGATTTCGTAGCCTCCACCAGATGCAGAAATTGCTGAAAAGGACAAGGAGAAATATCAAGAAGAGTTTCAGCACTTCCAGGAAGAGTTGGACAAAAGGAAAGAGGAATTTAAAAAAGAGCATCCGGACACAGAAGGCCAGCCAGGTAAGCAGTCAAGCGCTAGACTCGATGTAGAAAGCCAAGTCTTCATTGAAAGAATTGCTTTGCTAAATGGGCATTCTCTCTGGTTTGTTGAAAAACAATACCAGAATGACTAGAGGAGCCTGCAGTTCTATGATTTTTACAGGGGAATCCAGAGGGAAAAATAAAGAAACGATCTTTGCTTTGCAATGCGTTCTGTCTGCTATACGCATAAGTTCCTTTAGCATGTAGGTAAACTATACAGTAGGGCAGAGGTCTCCAAACTTGGCAACTTTAAGACTTGTGGACTTCAACTCCAACTATGCTGACTGGAGAATTCTGGGAGTTGAAATCCACAAGTCTTAAAGTTGCCAAGTTTGGGGACCTCTGCAGTAGGGGAATTGTACCCTGCCCAAAAGCTTATTGTGGTTGTTTCCAAAACTTCTCCCTTGCCCTCAAGCATGAAGAAGATCAAAAAGTTCCTTTTTTCCTTAGTTTTGGCGGGGCGGGTGTTTGGTTTGGAGAGGTGTGGTGTTGGAGGGGAAGGGGGTTTAAGAAATGTTATAGAGGCCTTAAAATGTGCAAAACCTTAGGACCCCTGTTTCATTCCTTTAAAATCCTTCTGAACTCCATTCTGAGAATGGATTCTGGTTTTGTCCATTTCTGGATTGTGGCCTTTAGTATGCCAAGCAAAATTAGTGCAACCTTCAAACCTGCAGATATTGCGAGTTTACCTTTGCCCGTTGGTGGCTTTATTTCCTGTTTTTTAGAATACTGTTTTTTATAAACCTGGTTTAAAAGATGAGAAGAGCCTGAGTTGCTTTCGGTTATAAATCGTTTCATCGGATTCCCCTTGGAAACCGCTTATGGGCTTTGTGCTTGTTGTGGGGAGAAAAATGAAACGTTGACTTTCGATTTTGCCAATTAGATAGGTTTGATGGTATAGAAATGGCTGGTATATATTATTACACAAAAGTAAAAAGCTAAGATCTCAAATTATTACCATATTATACTGCACCAAAAGGAGCTGGAAATCAATGCCTTTTTTTTTTCTTTTTCCTTCTGCCCTGCACTTTCTTCTCTTCCCCTTTTCCCTACTTATTTTTTTCCATTATCTTTATTTTTCTTTGTACATTTTGTATTTTATATTTTGATAAACCAATGCAATTTGTGAACTCAAAATAGTTCCATCAGATTCCCCCACTTTGTCCTGCAAACTCACTTTGTCCTGCAAAATCTCTCCTTGAAATTCTTCATCCACTCACTTGGAATGAAAGTCTATAATATTATGTCTATAATATTATGAAATATCCCAAGTAGACAGTTCTTATTTAGAACTGCTTTTGTGCTTCCCTCTGACTTGTCTGTCTTACTCAGAACATTCACAGCAAAACACAGCAAGTGGTTAAGTATATGTTTAAATGCAGTTAGGTTGGAATCATTTGACTCACCGGAATGTCTCACTTGTGTGGTTTTGTTTTAAAGTGGATGATATCTATGAGACGGTGGGTGATCGTGAGCTGAGACAGATCTTCGAAGGCCAAAATCGAATTCACCTGGAAATAAAACAGCTGAACAGGCAATTAGACATGATTCTGGATGAACAGAGAAAATACGTCTCTACGATAACAGAAGAGATTTCCAAAAGAGGGTCAAATGTCCCTAGCCATCAAGGGCAGGTATATTGTTAGTACACATGTTACACAAAATACAATTCTGTATTTTGACAGTTTTGTCCTTTTCGCTAACAGTTCTATGTTTCTTTTTTTAAATTACAGGCTTCCCAGTTAGAGCTTGACAATATTGTAAAAACTCAAGAAGAGGTTCTGAGACAAGTTGTGGAAATGAAGTAAGGATTCATGTGTGGAAAAACGTAACATACCAGTTTATGTCCAACAGAGATTTCACATTATAAGATTGTTGTTGAGGTGTGAACTATTCCAATAAGTAGCTCTCTTTCTTTTTGCTCATTGAAATTCCACACACTCTGCTTATTCTTAGATGGTCTATCCATATACAGGTTTTTTTTTTAAATGACCCTTAGTGTTACCAATGTAGCAAATGCATTTGAGGTCCTTAATGCAGAGCTTGGGTAAACAAAGTCATATAACATATTAGTGAAAGGAGGTTGAGATCTTTCTGTCCCAACTAATGTGGAACTTTAGCTCGGATGTTCCATTTCATTCGTTCTGTGGGTTCAAGAGGCAATTCAGCTCAGTTCATGTTTGATGTATGTTTATTTTAAAAGCTCGGGGGCATTAAACAGCATCTCTGATGTGAGCATTCTTGACTCCCTTTTCAGAAATTCCGTGGGGGAAACTCAGCGTCTCCTCACTGGCATTCAGCACCACCCCGCTTCCTCTGGTGGGATCTACGAAACCACACAGCATTTCAACGACATTAAGGAACATCTCCATGTCGTAAAGAGGGATATTGAGCATTTAGTCCAGAGGAACATGGTATCTATTGCTATTTGCATCCTTTTTTTGGGGGGGGGGGGTGAAAGGGAGGAGAGGTGTCCCCAAAAGTCAACATAATAGATGAGACTGGAAAACCCTGTCCCTGTTTAATTGCAAAGCTGTTCCACTGGTTTATTGTCCTCACTGTGAGGACGCTTCTCTCCTTGATTAGTTTCCACCCATTGTTTCTTGTCCTGCCCTCAGGTTCTCTGAAAAATAAATCGATCCCTTTTTGTGGCAGCCACTCAAATACTGGCATACTGCTATCATGTGCCCCCGAGTCCTTCTTTTCTCTAGACTAGCCATGTCCAAATCCTGCAACCGTTCTTCATATGTTTTAATTTGATAGATGATAAATGCTTTTGATAAATGATTTTGAGTACACTCATGGATTCGGCTTGTTGAAAAATCATCATCTTGTTTGTAATTTCAGCCATCAAATGAAAAACCCAAATGTCCAGAGTTGCCAAAATTTCCATCATGTTTATCCACAACACACTTCTTTATATTTGTAGCATTCCAGACGCTACTCTTTATTAGTTACATCATGTACAGGTAAGTGCCGACTTGGAACATACCTTGCAAACAGGGAGGAGCCCTGAGGAATAGAACTGAATGAGTGGCTCAGAAATGAACATGTGTCTGTTCTAAACAAGCCCTAAAAACGTATGAGGCACATAAAATTAAATTGTAAGAAACACAGGGAGAGATGCTGCTTATCCATGACACCACGGGGTTTAAGATGCTGGTGCCTTGGTACAAATGCACTTTTGCCATTATGTTTGTGGAGTCTTTGCTATTCTTAGGAATTTTCAAAAGTGCATTTTTTTTTAAAAAAAAAAAACCTTATAATTCACATTCTCACTGTCACATGTAACTATTTAGGATCCTTTTCGGTCTTTTTTTGCTTAAGATTTAAAGTGCACTCTTGGAGTTTTGGGGAACTTAACAACAAGAACCTGTCCTTACCAAAACACTCCCTCGTTGAGGAAATACTTGGTTCTCATACACTTTAGCAATAGCACTTAGACTTATAAACGGCTTCACAGTCCTTTTTACAGCCCTCTCTAAGCAGTTTACAGAGTCAGCCTATTGTCCTCAATAATCTGGGTCCTCATTTTACCCACCTAGGAAGGATGGAAGGCTGAGTCAATCTTGAGCCTGGTGAGATTCGAACTGCCAAATTGCAGGCAGCTAGCAGTTGGCAGAAGTAGCCTGCCGTACTGCACTCTAACCACTGCGCCACCACAGCTCTTTAGCAACCTTTTGAAATCTGCATTCCCAAGGGCGTAGAAAAAAGGGACAGGACGGACAAGATTTTAAGCTCTTTTGCTGTCATGGAAATGCATACGTGTTGTCCTCTAATCGTTTCTCCCTCCCCTCCTTTCATTTCTTGGGTCTTAAATGTGGGGTCCAAGTTGGGAGGGGCTCATGGTTGGTGGGAGGGGGGGGGGGGTTGAACTGAATAAGCTGAAATTGGACCCAAGAGGGTCTGGGTAAAAGTCCCGGTGATGAAGCAAATCTTTCTTAGCATAGCTTTCAATATACAATAGTATTGTTATGAGAATAAAACTGAGAGGACAAAATATTAAATAAGCCGCCTCGTGCTCCTTGAGGAAGAATTCAAGTAGAGATATGTATTGCACGTAAAAGTGTGTGGGTCCTTGGTGCTCTCTGAGCTTGGTTGTTTTTTTCCACATAATTCATTACCTGAGCAGGTAACTTAATTGGGTAATAAAACATATGCAAGATAACAACCAAGCTCTGAGGGCACCAAGGACCCCCACAATTCAACCCTCAGCTACAAATATTTTCTTCTATCAGCAACTAAATGAGTCTTTGCAAACAACCTGCAAGGAAAAATTAAGCACCGTCTTTTCCAATCTCTTCTGTGAGGTATTTTCCTCTTGCAACACAAAATGGACAGTGTATGTTCCTTGTCTCTCTCATTGCATATGTGTCTTAAGCACCGAGGCACTTATGGGTTGAAACCATTAGCTGTTCCCCAGGGGACGCCCAATTGGATGGGGTGTTTCCCATTCATGTCGCCAGCAGGAGCTGGAACAAAGGACAGGAGCTCACACTTTCCACAGCAGCACTTGGGTCTCAAACATAGGCTTGCTAACCTCCAACCGAGGGTCCTACCCATGTGAGCCACTGTGCTCCTAGCCTTCTACGTCAGTCTAATTTAATTATCAGTTTCTCACTATAAGGTATTTTGTGGGAAATAATATTGGGCTAAATAGCTCAGCTTCTGTCAGTCGCTTCACTGTGATCTGAAGTAATTGTTAATCTTATTTCAGTAGTTAGCCTAAGTTGGTTTGGAGACCTTGAAGACTCTAGTGAGCTTAATTATTTCAGATTAAAGTACTAAAAAGGCCACGTTTAGCCCAAGAAGCTTAAGGTGAGGCTGCCCTGTCTCCTCCTCCAAATTCCAGAGCATTCCTGATTCTGAAAGACAGGTTATCGAGACAGACAAAAAGCTTTCTAAAGTGAGTTGAGCTAATGGATTTATCTTTCTGTTGTGTCTGCAGGAGTCAGCAGGAAGCAGCAGCAAAGAAATTCTTTTGATGGCCTCTCTGTCGTGCGTGGAAAGCATTGCACTAGTTGGAGAAGAGGGAAGGAATCCTTTAGTGTTGAAAATGCTTCAATATTTTAAATTATTGAGTTCTTTCCTAATCAAGTACACCGAATAGTGGATTGCGATGTTATAAAATGGACCGATTCCAAGGCAGAAAAGAGATAAATTCTGCCTTTGAGCATCCAGGAGAGATGGGGTGGATGGAAAATACCTTTATTTCATTGTCAAAATATATCCCAAGTAAGGTCTTGGCACAGAAATATTTCTTATTTGGGGAGATCATGGAAGGCAGAAAGACAAGCTGTATAATAATTGTTCTGTGTCTCAGGAAGAAAGACAGGCAGGCAAGCGGGCATTGGCTTTCTGAAACTGCATCCCCTTTTAGAGCTATAAGATTGCAAAGAATTCTTTTTTTTTAATGTAACCTTGTGGGCAGCATTAGATGAGCAGAGTTAGATATTGCCGATTCAACTTTTAAAAGATAGACTTGTGGAAACAGTGACAGGCGGGGGGCAAGAAAGAGGAAGTTTATAGAACAGCTCAATTCTTAATGGTGCCATTTTTCTGTGTAGGAAAAGGTAGGTGGGAACAGGCTCTTTTTAGCATGTTTTGATACAGTTGTTTGTATTCATTGTATTCACATCGATCATAACTTTTGTAAAAGTGTTTTTTTAATGCCTCTTCAACGAAGAGATCCTAGCTTGCATGATCTTGAAAGTCATCTGACTTGGGAGAATATGGGACAGCGGTGATCTTCAAAACGTTATCATTGAATGTTAAAATTCAAACTGAACTTGGTCCTCTCCAAAGCCAGGAATATTGTGAATAGATCCGGATGGCATTGTTTAAAAAAAAAAAAAAAATCGGGCTTTTTCTCCTCTTTTTGCTGAATCGGTATTGTTCTTCATCTTCAAGTATTCTTAAGTCTTAGCCACTTGTTATGTAATCCTTCTTAAGTCAGTTCCAGAACAGCAAATGTGATTTTACTCTGCCTTGCATCTTGCCTGTATAGTATTAACTTGAAGCTTCATTTTTTACACATGTAGAAATTCCAATAGAACAGCTTTCTCATATCATCAAGTGCTCAAATTCCTCTGAACTTAAAATATTAAAAGACAAGCAATGTTCATTTTAATCCAGTATTACATATTTTGAAGGCATTGTTTGCAGTTTTGAGAAACAGAACAAATCTATGCAATTCTCTCCCTTTAAAGATATTGGCAGTGTTATATTAGGATTTATAAATCAGATGTTTTCCACCAAGTTTTGAAAAACACACAGATGCCAAATACCTTCCTACAACTCACAATTGAAGACAAATAAGCAGACTTATTTTTCTCAACCCAAATCACTCAAAAGAAGGGCCATGATCCATTCTGTTTCACACCAGCAAATGTTTTTACAGGTGCCTTGGGCAAATTAAAACCAAATGTATGTTGTAAAAATGACCTACTAAATCAAGGGTTTGCGCGATTTGAGTTTTCATTAAAGAAGACACTGCTTTCTTTTATGCAGAAAAAAGTGGATTCTGTTGCATTATTTTTCTTTGGAAAACGCTTGGGTCATGATAAAAATCTTGTAGATAAATGTCTTATGTTTTCTTTTTGACATAATGTGAATCTACCCAGCTGAGAATTAAAATATTGAAGCAATCGGTGGTATTGTATCTTGTGTTCAGAGGGTAAAATACAGTAATGTTGTACTCAAGAGCATTGTTAGACTGGAATTCATATCCCAACAATAATTAGCAAGTGGACAAGATTTCAATATAAGATCCCTCATGTCCTAACCAATACATGAAATGCACATAATTGTGAAAGGTTACTACTCCATACTTGCATTTTCACATATCTGTAGTTCCATGTGGCATATAATGAAACATTTCTAGTCTCATTTTGAATATTGGTAGGAACACAATGCACATTTTATGACCTGCCTGTATTTTTAAGGGTGGCAGCAGTGAAATTATTTTACAAGCCCATCATGAATAATGATAGAAGAGAGGCAGTTTGGGATAGAGATAAGGCATCAGGCTAGAATCCAGGAGGCTGTGAGTTTTCAGTCTCTCCTTGGGTACTGAGCCAGTTGGGTGATTTTGCGCCAGTGATCCTCACCGCTAGGAAGGATGAGGCAATGGCAAACCACTTCTGAAAAATCTTGCCAAGAAAACTGCAGGGGTTTGTCCAGTCCAGGCAGTTGTCAGGAACCAGGACAACCCGAAAGTGTCTGCATGCAACACACATCACACACAGTGCCAATAATTGCAGAATTCTCTCTTAACTGGAAATAACAATTCATCTGCTGCTGAGATGCAGTTTTTCATAGAAACTTTGGAAATGTAGTTGCCAATTCTTGTATACTTTTGAAGAGCACTGTTCTGTTTGTATATTGAAAATACATTGAGGCTTTAGAAAGATGCAGAGAAGAGCAAGAAAGATGATTAAGGGACTAAAAGCTTTAATATGAAGGATGTTTGCAGGAACTGGGTACGCTGGTTTCATGAAAAGGACTAGGAGTGACTTGATAGCAGTCTTCCAGTATCTATGGTGCTGCCACAAATAACAGAAAGTCAGTCTATTCTCCAAAGCAGGGGGTGCCAACCTTTTGGACCTCGGGGCCATCAAACTCATAATTTTAAATCCCGGGGACCTCTAATATGAATTTTAACTGATGCTGGCTTGCTAACGTTGGTGGGAGAGAGAGAGAGATCTGATCTAACCTCTCCCTTCCTCCCTCTCCTCTCTCTCTCTCTCTCTCTCTCACACACACACACACACACACACACACACATACAGTGGGATTCAAATTTCTTAACCAGTTCTGTGGGCGTGGCCTAATTTGTGGGTGTGGTTTGGTCATGTGACTGGCTGGGCATGGCTTGTATGTAGATATTATAAATATTTATATAAATATTGAATTTTTTATAAAAAAGAGCAACTTTTACCCCAAATCAGGCAAAGCAGGTAGGCAAATTGAGTTGCTCACAGAATCACAGATTCATTCAGAGATCTATCGTTCTGCCATCGGCTACCTGCACTGAATAATAGAAGCTTCAGTCGTAAGGAAGGTGCAGAGCCGAAGATCTAAAGATTAGCTAGAAAGCAAGAAATCCAATGGTTTCCTGCTTTCTAGGTAATGGCACAGCAGAACAGCTGATGGTTGGAAAAAAGAAAAATAGCAATTTAGCAGGCAAGTTTGCCGGGTAAGGAGTGAGTGGGCGGGAAGAGTTCCCAAGGGGCATGTGGGCAGCACAGCCTTGTGTTCCTGTGCAGCCTGGATTAATTGCTTTGGGTGGGGTTGCTCTGGGGGGTGAGATTTCTCTGCGGACCACCAAAATTTTCTTGCAGACCACCAGTGGGCCACGGACCACCGGTTGGCGACCGCTGCTCCAAAGCCACTGAAGGCAGAACAAGAAGCAATGGATGGAAACTAATCAAGGAGAAAATTAACCTAGAACTGAGGAGAAATGTTCTGATAATTACAACAATCAGTGCAGCAGATTGATTCCAGAAGTTATGGGTGCTCCAATACTAGAGCTCTCTAAGAAGAGATTGACAGCCACTTGTCTGAAATAGCATAGGGTCTCCTGCTTGAGCAGGGGGTTGGACTAGAAGACAACAATAGCAGTTGGAAGGGACCTTGGAGGTCTTCTAGTCCAACCCCCTGCTCAAGCCTCCAAGGTCCCTCCCAACTCTGTTATTCTGTTATTTCCAAATTAAAACATTGAAATAAATCTGATTTGATTAGATTGGGTTTTATTTGAAGTTATTCTTAGGAAAACTTTTGGTGTTTTTTATAATTTTGCAATGGCACGTGCTGATGACAAAAGGAAGACCACTACTAACTTACTCTAGATTGTTCTTTGTCTAATTTTTAATCCGCTTCCTACAAATTAGAAGATGGTAACGTTCCACCAAGATCCTAAAAAAATTCCCACTGAGATTTGATTTCTTTAGGCTGAGGGTTTCTACATATGAAGCTTCTTTGCTGGCATGTGATATATCTAGCTGAGGGGCAACTTAGATCACCTCAATTAAAAATAATGGCAAGTTGATATGCTGCAAAAGTGCCAACTTTCCTCTTTTAATGAAAAGAATGCTTCTGGGTTCCTGCATTAGTAGAAAGTAAAAATATATGAATAGCTTACAGTACATCAAATGGTTTGCCTAGAAATATGTCCACTTCCTTCCTCCTCACCTCAAAGTATCCCTAGAAGTGAACTGGGGTACTAGAAATTCTCTGAGGCTAGAAAATTGCCAAGGGACAATTTTATCAGTGTGCCCCCCAATAAATAGATACTTTGTGATTGACTGCCCTCCAGCATTAGGTACAGGTGCCAGGTGGGCATATGTTGTGTTCTCAAAATTCCAAAGAGATTTTTTTGGCCCAGAAAAGTTGGCTACTTTTGCTCAATGTGAGAATATTGGTAGAACTCAAGAGGTGATTTCTTTTTTTAAGCACATAAACATCCAGTCCAATAAGGCAGACTCAGAGCCGCTGAGTCTTGTTTCCAAACGAAAGACCTCTCCTGCTAATAAACAAATTGTTATGCTAAGGAGTAGATTTGTTTTAATTCTGTACTGAAGTGGAATTAAAAGGATCAGCCAATGGTGACTTCCTCTGTGTGGCCTATTGTAATGGTCAGCCATAGGAAACTCACTAAACATAGAAGTAATTCAGATAGTTAACTTACATTCAATTGAATAGTACATTACTATCTGGGCCATACTGCTGTTTGAATTAAGAGAGGTTGTGGCCACCATTTTTTCTGACACAGTGCTCTCAATGCTATATTTGTTCTGTACATACCCTGCTTTCAATTAACTTTTGATTTGATTGAAATCAGTTTCATTTCTCTATTTCCAACTACAAATTGAAAATACCTGTGTATGATAATTTGTCTCATATTTCTCTCCTGTAATGCCTTACCTTGAATCCATCTGAGTTAGCTGTGCTGCTATGCCATGATTATGGAAGATGTGCCATTGTTTTGATCATCTAATCTTCAAGGTTTGCACAAGATCCCAGACTAAATAAACCACACCCATCCATTTAACAGTGTAGGTTAACATAGGATTGGCTAGCTTGTGGATCAATAGGTCTCAAGAACATTTGATTTTGATGGGATAAAGGATACTCTTGATTTGACCCGGAAAATAACAGTAACCTGGAAGTGATTGCAGTAAAACCCCCAGGGAGATTCATAGCTGTCAATAACAAATCACTAAAATATGCTAAATCTGTAGAGACTATACAACTGTAGAGAGATACAGAATCTTGTTCTAGCATAAATTTATAACCACCAGTCAAACCACTTAGTCTGGAAGACGTATATTGGAGGGACATCTTACTGCCAGTGGATAAAATATCCATGAATAAAAGGATTGGTTCTCATTTAAAGAAGAATCTTGCTGCTCCCTCCACAACCATTCAAATCTCTCTGATGTTTTTAACCTGATTTATCGTTGCCCTGTTTCACAAAATTCACATCATCAACCACATCCATCCATTAGAATTCAAACAATGGAGCCATTAATGGTTTATTTTATGCCTGAATGTATGCGAACAAAGGAAAAACAAATTAGATCTCTCTATTTCTCATCTCTCTTTCTTCTCCATCTCTGGCCCATTCACCCCTCCACATCCCTTGAAAGAATAAAAATTAGCTTAAGGTATTAATACAAAAAGTAAATACAAAATCTAATGATGGTTCTTCCCCCCACCCCCTTTGGTAATCTGAACCATCTGCCTTGGGCCGCTAAGGAGTACACTGTCTTAATCCAGATTAGAGTTGACGAACTGTTTCTGGCATAGAGTTTTCCCTAATACTGTGCCCTAGAAGAGCTGTTCTTCGGGGCTGTTGAAATTTCATTTTGTTGATTGGTTCATTCTTTTTCCCTTCGGGCTGTGGCATTTGTTTTTCTCTCCCACTTGGCAAGGTGAAAAGAAAAAGGGGAGAACATGGCTTTCCTCATGAAAAGTATGTTGAGTAACCAGGTGAAAAATCTGGGGTTTTCTGGAGGGGGTGAAGAAAAGACAGAGGAAGCTGCCCCTACTGACCCAGCCGCAGCAGCAGGAATGACCCGGGAAGAATATGAGGAATATCAAAAGCAGGTGATAGAAGAGAAGTAAGTGCACTTTCCTATGTTTTCAGTCTGTAAACTGATTTAGATTGTTTAAATTCACAAGACCAGAGATTCAGGCAGGTAGATGCTTTAATGCCTGTGGGTTAAGGCTGTACCACTACTTATTCTCCAGTAGCATTTCTAATTTTCCATAATAAATTTCCATGGAAATGGGACCCTTTTCTTTGAATGTTCCTCATCTTCCAGATTTCTAGGTTGGGGAAAGAGAAATACTTAACACACCCAAGATATTTCCTGAATGTAGCCACAGTTGCAAGCTTGTTTGTGTATGGAATTTCACAGGTTTCCCTCCTGCAGATCTGAATCAAATGCTTTTCAGAATTTTTCTTTTCCTGCATTGATTGGGATTTTTAAAGTTTGTTTTCTGTAAGCTAGTTAAATCCAATAAAGTTAGATTTAGTCTATTTTAAAACATGCATAAAGAAATGGCAAAGGTAACATGCATTTGCCTCTGAAAGTCTAAAAGTACTGTGCTCTTCTTAAAAAATACCTTTACTCTGATGTT